ATATAATTGAAGCAGATTCGTGAGTGGGAAAGGTAATGTGCCTGCATATTTAAATCCGGATTTTACACATCTAATGACTAAATCCGGTTCTAATGATTAAATCCGGATATAAATGATTAATAGTATTGATATTAAGGTAAAATAATGAAATAGTACCGCTAAAATTTTGCAGGAAAAATCTTTTTATTAAGGCACAAAAGTGGTTTAATAAGTAAAATTACTGGTTTTGAAAAGTTTCGATTTTTTAATTTTTATGTTACACCGGATCAAGTGTGTAATCTATCTTGCCAATCAGATAACATCGAATCAGAAGTGGACAATTACCTCACTAAAACAGCCGATGTACCATATTAGATGAAATACAAGGCCACCGACCTTATGTTAGAGTGAAATAATGAGAGGTTACCAGATAGATATACTGACTCTATGATTAGAGATGCAATAGAACTTGTTAAGGCCTGACATAACTAGTTAAAGCATATATTTTAAATTAGTTATGCATAAGCCGTAATATTTTCTACTTCATCTCTATTTTGTAATTTAAACATATCGAATCCAGAATATACTCGGATAATAAGCGAATTTATCATACTATCAAAATGAGGTGTATTCATATGGAGCGAAGAGTATTTTAATTTTATTTAGATGTAGAGAGATATTAGGAAAAGACTAATTATAACTATGTGTATATACATGGGTATTAATTTGCAAATCCGTGTATCATACCAATCAAATTTTTTTACAAACGAAAAATTAAACCCTTGTGTATAGTTAGGGTAAGGGTGAGGTTTGGGATTGAGGTGAGGGTTAGTTTATATCAAAATTTTGTAAGGAATTTTTTTTTTTTTTTTTGATAGAAGCAAAAGGTGGTTGCATAATCGAAATTTTGAGAAACAATAATACTCCGTGTATATACACTAGTGTACAAATAGTAATTGCCGATAGACCCGGTCCAGATTTAATAATGAAATCCGGGTATAACCATTAATAGTGATATTCGACTTTATAGCTGTGTTGATTACGTAAATACAAATATGCAATTTGCATGTCCACACATATCCGATTATCTGTAGTTAAACTCTAATGCATTACACGAGGCCTCGAATCTTTGGATCGACAAATTTCCTGAATTAGTAAAGGTGATTTGAATAAAAAAATATATATTTTGATAAATATGTATAGAATATGAAAATAACCTTTATTATATAATCAAACAGTAACATAAAGATTTTCATATATATTTTACACGGAGACATCTTTCCAGATGTTATGTGTAATATATACATTCAATTGTATCATATACAGCATTTTTTCTTGTCTAGTTTTTATGCAGAATTTCAAATACTTTATATATATGTGCATATACAAAGAAGAGATAAGATGCACTATAAAGTGGACAAGCACCACATACAGTCATGATGACCAATGATAGTTAACGGAGCCTACTGCCTAATTAATACTGCGGAAGATTCTATAGAAGGATATACCAAAATGGCTATAGCTATCGTTATTGTAATAAATAGTATTGTAAAATTAAGTCTAATACGTACAATATCAGTTTTAACAATCCTATCAATACATGACACATTTAAGAATATAACTAGTAGAGCCAATACGTATTTCTGTATTTATGATTACGCCAAATATCGATATGTTATAATGTGCTTATAATAATTACAAAAATGTTAAACAAATATGTTACATTACAAGTAGAAATGCTGTAAAATAGTAATCGCAATAATTTCATCATTGTTGATGAAGCTGATAATGAATTAATAAATTTGTGAAGTTAATTTCACCTGCATCTCTAATTATTGGGCAAAAAATAAATAATAATAATAATAAAGAAAATATAGATAAAAAAAAGAAAAAGCAAAAGGAAATATGAACAAGGAAAAAGAAGTCTATACACAAAAAAGATTATCTAAATGAATACATATAAAAAGGAAATGATATCTACTTCACGTGATCATATAGAAGAAACATAATTTGAAAGTGTTTCGGATCCAACAAAATCTTGTTGCAAATCGTTATCATCACTTATGAAAGGAAAACAATTATATACATAACAATCGTTATTATTTGGGATATTTAAATAGCTTAAAAAATTCCACGGAATTGATAATGGCAAAGTTTGTATGCCCTCTGAATTCTCCAAAAAAGGTTCAAATATACCAAACTCATTATTCAATTCTAATTGTGACTCTAATGAAATTGATTCTGATGAGGGGAATGATTCTAAAGAAAATTCTCCTAAAGAAGAATTCATCTGGAAAGCAGTTATTTCTAAAGAATTTGTGGGACTAGAACCAGAGCTAACTGAAGAAATTTCAGACTCAGATAGTAGAAAATTCGATAAAATTGAGTCTTTGTCTGAAAGAAGATTACAAGCACCAAAAATTTTAGACTCAGATAATAAAGAATTCGATAAATTTGAGTCATTATCCGAAAGAAGATTACTGTCATCAAAAATCTCAGACTCAGATAGTAAAGAATTCGACGAAAATGAATCTTTGTCTGAAGGAAAATTACTGGTACTAAAACTCTCAGACTCAGACGACTCAGTCGATAGCAGAAAATTCGACGAACATGAATCTTTTTCTGAAAGATTATTACTGGTACCAAGAATGTTAGTCGTACTAAAAGCAGAAAAACTTTTTTGCATAGGATCCTCGGTTTTGGGCGTGTATGATTTGAAGGAATTGTTCCGTTTTTTTTTGGGCTCAAATTTGTAATTTGGATATTTTTCGTTATGTACGCATTGACTTTGAATCGATAAGCGCTATTTGAAAAATTGCATCATGAAATAAATTATCTGAATCAAATAATAGGAGAACTATGAAAGTATAAATTATACATATACTTGAAGAAATTATTACCTCATAAGTTTTTTTCGCATGCTGGGGTAATTCGGACCAGATTTTTTTTGAATGCCGGCAAATCTCCGGCATCGTGTATCGATATCCCAACTTCCTCAATTCCAACATGTAACAGTTTTTCATGAGAAAGAACCCATTTGGAGGACGCCTTATATGTGTGTCTACACTTTGTTGTGCCTTAGTTGAGATAAGTTCGGTGATATGGTATTTTGGATAATAAATGTTGTTCAAATCTAATTCTGTGGGGATTTGACGAAATGGACGAGCAGCCCGAGTGGACTTGTTATTGGCTTTGGTAGAAACATCTTGAAAAGTTTGGTTCATCTTGTCTTTGTAAATACACTAAATACACTTGTTATGGAATATATCCGATAATAGTCTATTCAACTTGAATGCTTATCTAAAGTTAATATCTAAAAGGTCAAGAGGTTGATAAGAATACAAACTAAATATAAATGTGCTAACTTTCTGACGGAATGTGCTTAACAGGCTGTTTATATAAAAAAATTTTTTTTTTACCTTTTAATTTATAATTATTGTATAACGATTGATATGCACATGGACATCAGAGGTTCAGTCACACGTGCATATAGTTACTTCACATAAATAATTAAGGGAATGGGATTTTTGTAAAATGTTGTTGACAGAAGCCAGAGCTTATTAGCAAATAACCTGAAAGATCAATTCTGAGCTAAAAATAGAAGTAATTCAAATCACTCTATTAGTGGATCACATATAAATTCCGGCGTAAATTGTCTTTTCTTCCTAAATGTCCAAAAATAGACCTTTAATTGTTAAATCCAAAAAGTCTTTACACGAAACACGAGATTTTGATGGATTTTAAACAACGATATGACGGTCACGTGGTATAGAAATAAGCGTGTGACACGAATTATTAAACACGGAAAATTACCATGTGACAAATGCTATCTTACCAAACTGTCCAATGTTTTGGAGATCCCAACCCATTATATTAATGCCGCATTGAGATAGACAGCGGAGTTATTACTCCCATTATTACTTAACCTAGAATGTAAGGATTTTAAATAGAACGTTAGTTGTTCTACAAACGAAATCCAAGGCGGAAACTATCATGATATGTTTCCAACTTTGTAAATATCGCACCTAAACAAAGAACGTTTAAGGTTATTCGATAAATGCATTTCGAGAATAAACCCTGATTCTTCACGTGATTTTTGTTTATTACTTAAATACTTAATTATTACTTAATTACCTACTCAGTGACCAGAAAGAATATTCTCAAAGAATCTTTATTTATAGATTGTATTTTTTTTGAAGCCATCTCTTTATTTGTCAACTTTAACGAAGATGACTCTTTAGATGTATTTAATTTCGAGAATCTGATCACCCTGGCGCGCGTACAATAGTAAATATGCCTTTCAAATTTTACAATATAAATCGTCAAATGGTGCCCATTGTGTTTATTTTCTCATTGTTGAAGTTGTTTTTTTTTTTATAAATGTTCTATGAAGAAATGAGAATTTCTTTTCGGAAATTCATTTACTTTTTGTTTAATTGCAATCTAGAACAATATTTTGTAATTACACAAGAGATTTGCGCGTTATTTCTTCGAAAATCAGCAAAAAAGGAATCCATTTCTTTGTTGGACTAAAAATATTTTGCAGTATCTAGATACAAAATTGGATAAACCTCAAGAGACGATTCATATATGATATACAAACATTTTTTTAAATGAACAAAGAAATCCAGTTTCGAAATCCTCCATAGAAAAAACTTCTAAGAGTAAACTTTAAAGTTTCATCAATCATGACGCTGATATTATTGGTTTCTTGAAAGATAATCTTCATAGAAAATTCTATGAAGCAAGCAACCAAGAATTTTGTTGAGAACGTATTTATAATAAATGATTAACAATATCCCAATTAAGAATATAATTACATTCAGAGAAAAGTGTTATCAGAAAATTTTCGCTGCTACATTAACATCAAATACTCTATTCAGCATTTCATTATTTCATAAATTTAAGTCAATGTAATATTAAAGACCAAAATTCTTTGTTATAGTTAATTTAATTTTGTATTCAAAATAGTTGTGATCATAATAAATCGCTTATATGTATAATACACTTAATATGTGGATGGGGAATTATCGTTTTATGCTCATCCTGCGTCATAATTACATATAGGTTAGTAGCGCCTAATAAGCATAATAACATCTATAATTGGTTGATTTTTTTTGTGGCACTAAAATAAAATATTGTGTAAACTAAACGGGTAATTAAAAATACCGGTCATTCAAATATATCATCTTGTACTATCTGCACGCCTGTTTTGATAATACAATGGTTTCTTTTTTAATTTGGACCTAACGCTAATATGCTAAAGGCGTTAAAAGAATTTTCCCATAGAGTTATCCGCACCAATTCATCTGTTTGAAATTTTTTTGTAAGTGCGCAGGCTGCACATGAATTAGAAGGGAAAGAAGGAATCAAATTAAGTAAATAAAACGAATAACCGATCCAAAATTTTGCTGCGCATAATAACGTGGAGCATCCCTATATAGATACTTTAAATCTCAAAATGAAAAAAAATCTGTTATTAATAAAAAAAAAAGTTTATCAACAATTGTAAAGGACCCGCGAGAAGCTGGATCAAAGCCCGATGTTTTTTCGGGGCGAGGCGGAGAACCAATGGAGAACTACGGATAGAATTTGTATATTTTTATCTGCTCTATTTTTATATTA